TGATTGGCTAACAGCAACACAGCTCGACCACTGACTGTCTGCTCTGCAACGTTGATGATTTCTCTCCACAAATAACACAACCCTAAAGGAGTTCTGCTGTGTGGTGGAGTTGCGAATGCTAACAGTTAGCTTCTACTAGCCGAGACATTCTCTGCTGTTCCCTGGACGCTAAGCAAACAACAGGCTTTCCTCTCGTGAGTCAAGATGGGTGAGTCCATGAAAGTTAAGTGACAGTGTGACGTAGATCTGTCAGGATTTTCTATCCTAGACTTTCACCGTCATGTTTCTATCACCAGCTAATGCAGGAGATGGGTGTGGGAGACTTTCCATGTTCAGCCTGGATGTTAATCCCATTGTGATCAGTGTAGCGTCATGAATGGCCTCATAGTTGTGACCCAAAGGTCCATTTTGGTTAAATAAATGCACCCTAATATTGAGAGATCCCTCTGAAGCCAAATATTTAGTTTGGATTTAATTTAATCAAGTTTATTATGTTTGTCCTTAGGTTAAATTGCTGATCTTTAGAAATACATGTTCCAAGATATTAAATTTCTGAATTGATGGGAATGTTACAAATGATCGTACAAAAGTACACGTGGATGAACGTGGAGAACAGTATTTGTTTAATCAGTTGTTTAATGAAACCAGCATATGTTTACCAACTAAATCTCTAAACAATATGTAATCCTCGAGTCACATTTGATGAGGAAAATGTACATTTTCTTGTGATAAATCGAAAAGGAGTTGAAGTAGTTGACCCCACCTCCACCTCACACACACCATGGCCTACCTCAACAAAACATTAAACACTATTCCAGTGTCTCATGTTCTTTTGTTTCCTATTTCCACAACAAAAATGAGGAATCGACACCACAGATCAGGTATTTCAAATTAAATGTTTTAGCAGAATTTATCTGTGTAGTGCAAGTTTCTCAGTTGCCAGAATTTCACAAATATTAAGAAGGAAGAAAACCACAAACATCATGGACCATCCAAAGGACCAATAATAGTGCAGCTGGGTTTTAAATAAAGTTTTACTTTAATAAAATGCATTCAGTTCATCATAGTAAAGTTCCACAGCATTCTGCATTGAATTAATGAGCCATAGGTGTTACGAGGTGGTTGATCTAAGGATGTCCAGAACCAGGACAATTGGAAAAACTTTTATTTTTTCTTTTTTTTCTTTTTTTTGTTTCTACAAACAACTTCAATTAAGTAAACATGATAAAATATTTTATTATTAAAAGTTGCTCAGGAGTTTTCAAATTTGTATTCTGAGAACTACTCCATAATAAACAATTTTAATAAGCTTCACCGACATTTACATATTTTCATAAACAGTAGAAGCTCGAATCTGCAGCAGGCGTGAATCTGTGGCGTCCAAGTCTGCGGCCTTGAATCTGCAGTTGGTCTTAACTCTGCAGTTGCAGTTACACATTAGTCCTTTAGAGGTCACTGTCTCAAAAACAGTACAAGCCTGAATCTGCTGTCTCCGTTCCTTCCTCCAGTCCACAAGGTGGCGGTAACGTACCCGGAAGCTATTCACCCACCGCCATTCTCCAAGATGGCGCTACGCATAGTTAGCTTTTCTGCGTTACGAGTCGGACCTGATTTCTGGGTCAATAATGGCCGGACCTTTGTTACAACAGGTAGGATGACCTCACCGTTAAATGTGTTCAGAACCTCTTTGTTTGTTTTCATGTCCGGTTTGAAGCAGAGACGTCATCGGTCCTCTGCATGAAGACAGGATGTCTCAAAGCGAGGTCACCGAGACAGTGTTACTGATCCAAACACACAACGATGAGCCAAATACACACGAATACATTAACACTAATTTAAGGGACAATATTAAAGGTTGCAACTTCCTGTGGGAGTTCCTACAGAGCTCCTGATCTTAACCCTGCCTGTTTAAACCGTTCTCCTGCACCAACACACCTTCATCAACCAGGTGTGTTGGTGCAGGTGAACAGGAACCGTTCTGGATAGGGCCCTCCAGGACCAGGCCCGGGGGCATGGCTGGTCTCCAAGTAGAATGATGAAAAACTCACTTTGTGAAACCTGTAGTGTGTGGGGGACATTTCTGTGTGTTTTTGCTCTACGTCTTGTAGATTATTACTTACAAAACTTAAATATCTGTACTTGAGTCTTCACGGGTGAGATAAAATATTCTGACGTTAGTGTGGAATCATCCAGCTCCAGTCCGACGCTCGAGGCTCTTTCAGCTTGTGAGCTAAAGTGGATCGAGGGTAAAATCACCGTTGAGCTGGATCCTGAAGCTGACTTCTCCTGTTGCTCATGTTCTGTGAAGTCATCATTTATATCTGGGAGAATATGTGTGATATTTTATTCCTTGTCAAAAGGCACATCATAAAAACATCGACATAGTTTCTTATGGAAAACCAGCGTTTGTTCTGTGAAGGACATCTTTCCTAGACTGATGAAGGGCATTAATGCTCTTCTGAATCCCTCCAACCTCTCCCAGCGTTCCTTAGGAGACGAGTTCCTCCTCTGGGGCCCATGCCAAACGAGGAGATTGACGTAGCTAACCTGGAGTCACTAGAGAAATATCGCAGCTACAACCGATACTTCAGACAAGCCGAGGAGGCCAAGAACAAACCCGTGTGGTGGAAGACCTACAGGAGCCACGTGGAGAAAGCTGACCCTGAGCATGGTGAGGGATGACTCCGAGAGCTGATGCTGATGATGTAAAGTGGGTTTTGGTGAGTGGTGATGGACCCGGTCCTGTGTCTGAAGGTGCTGAGCGGGTGGACATCGGACTTCCCTACCGTCAGACCTGCAGGATCAAGGAGGTGAGGGCGAGGAAGCAGGTGATGAAGGACAACAAGAGGAGCGTGGAGTTGGAGCGGGCCTCTCGCCTCCGTACCTGTAAGATCCTCCACCCTGATGGGGACGTTTGTGGTGGTTTATGTCTTCTTGCTAAACGTTTCCGGGTTCTGCTGGGCTCACTCTCCTCAGTGAGGATCTCTCTGGATGGAGTGGAGGAAACCTGGAGGAAGACCACCGCGCCGTTTCATCTGAAGAAGCTGGCCGACCACTACGGCGTCTTCAGAGACCTCTTCCCCATGGCCTATTTTCTCCCTCAGGTCACGCTCCACATCAGCTACAGTCAGGAGAACCGTGACCAGGTGCATCATGGCAATCGGTTGACACCTACTGAGGTAAGGTGAAGACACAGGAGAGGACTTTCCTCTCAGCCTAAAGAACTTCTATCTCTGAACGTGTTGTGTTTGTGTCTCCAGGCAGCATCTGTCCCCCAGATCAGCTTTGCTGCTGAGGAAGGCTCCCTGTGGACCCTCCTCCTCACCTGTCCAGGTCAGTCCCAGACACACATGTAAAGGTGGACCAGGGTTCTCCACCTACCTCCACGGCTGAAAGTTGAACCTAGAATTCCAGGTTTTAACTTGTGTTCCTTCATGCTGTTTTTACCTGACTACCGTATGCAGGTACTTGATCGTGTTTCAGCCTGCTGATGCAGTGGGACCCAGCTCAGCACTGGTTTGACTGGTTTTCATCTCTTTCAGATGAGCATCTGGTGGACAGCGAAGCCGAGTACGTCCACTGGCTTGTGTGAGTGCATCTGAAACAGTCTGATCGTGTGCTGTTTGATCCACTGAAGTGCTGAGTGTCCGTCGTTTGAGCAGGGGGAACATACCAGGTGGAGCAGTGCAGGATGGAGAGGAGCTGTGCCACTACCTGCCCCCCTTCCCCCCCAGAGGAACAGGCTTCCACCGCTACGTCTTCGTCCTCTTCAAGCAGGACGCACGCATCAGCTTCCAGGAAGACATCAGGCCGTCGCCATGGTGAGCAGCAGATGACAACCCACAGACAGGCTGGGAGGTGTCACGAGTCCTGATCCTCTAAGAGCATGTGGTCTTCCCTCAGGACTAACCCGGGTGTAGAAACGGGTTTTCTCCTTGACGAGGTGACCTCAGGTGCTTGGAGCTGAGTGATGGCGTGTAACTGAGTCTGCAGGGATTCCTGTTGAGCCAGAAATGCACCAAAGTGTTTTTGTTTCATGTTTGTCCCAAACTGCTGGATCACTGCAGGGGCCTCATCCATCAACCGTTCGTAGGAATATTCCTAAATTACTTCCTGTGAACAAAATTTAGAATGTTCGTACAAGGTCACGATCCCGATTTATGAAACATGCGGCGGCCTCCCGTAGGCGCGTTCTTCCACACTCGTCCGATGATAAATCCCACCTGTGTGTACGCAGGCGTTCGTGGCCATTCCGTCATTTACATATAGAAACACCCTCAATTAACCATATTTGGTTGCATGGACGTAATCTTCACTTTAGAAGTGGGGGGGACATGGGGGGGGGGGGGGGGGATCTTTACAGTATGCTCTAATAGGAAACAGGCTTCAACACAAACGGTTGTTTTCTGCTTGGTCCTAGAACCAGTGTCAGTTTAATGTAGCGTAATATTGTTTTTGGATGGTAAAAAGTGCAGAGGTCAAACCTTGACTTTGGACAATGTGGGGGGGACATGTCCCCCCTGTCCCCCCCCAAAGAATTACGTCCATATGTGGTTGTGCTACGTCCTCGGCTCGTGTGGGGATTCCTGCGTTCTACCCGAGAAAATGAAAGGAAACTTTGTTGTGTGATTGAGACTCTGGCTGTAGAGGCTCTAAACGCGGTCGGGACAGAGGAGGGGTTCCTGTCGGGAAGCTGAATCGGATCAGTTGTAGAGTAACAGGTTGCCATTTACATTTATGGAGTGGTTCTGGGTGGTGTTGGTTTTATTTGGAAATGTCTGAGAGCAGCCTCTTGGCTGTTATTCCATCCGGTTACCGTGACAACGCACATGCGCGATCGGAGAGCAGAGAAGGTTCTTGTAGTTGTAAAATAGAATATTATGAACTGGAATCGGATTTGTGCGGTTCGTCTGTCGCTCCCACATCCTAGCATAGCTCCAGATGGATCTCCTGTCGCGGAAACGCGTTTACTCGTGAGAGCAGCGCTGACAAATCCTTAACAATGATGCAGAAATGTTCTTCTATCTAGGGCATCTCAAGCAAAACCACCAGGCACTTCACAAGGGCAAAATATCATTAAATTAAAAATAATAAGTAATTAAGAAAGATTAAGAGCATCATAAACATGGGAAGAGTAAAAGTTGTGATTACAAAAAACACGAAACCCAAAATGTCAGGTTCCCGGCGGGTGTTGCAGCGCCTCTCGTGTGACTCAGCAGTTTTTCCACCTACATAATCATTTAATGTGTAAAATAATTAGTGGATGGCCGAGACCTTCGCTGTTGCGGTTCCTCCGTTCTACCACTAGATGGTGTTCCGAGGCATGATCTGATGCTTATATTTGGGAACGTTTTCACGCTGGGGTACAAGACGAGGAATACTGCGCAAATGAGTTCCTACACACCGTATACACGCAGATGTGTTCGTAAGTACGGTTGATGAATGATGCCCCAGGTGTCTTTGTCTGCGCTTCTTCTTGAGATGCTCTAACTTCCTCCAGCATGAACGCCATGTCCTGCAGGAATAACCGTCCCAGTGAAACACGTGATGACTGATCCCGTGTTGTCTCCCCCCCCCAGCTCTTCCCTGGTGGACCGAACTTTTAAGACCGTTGATTTCTACAGGAAGCACCAGGACAGCATGACGCCCGCAGGCCTGGCTTTCTTCCAGAGCCAGTGGGACCAGTCTGTCACCAGCACCTTCCACCACACGCTCAGTGAGTCACGTGTCATTTACAGAGAACACACACGATTGTGTAAGATTGTAAAAGTTTCTAGGAATCATGAAGACCATCTAAAACAGTAACAAGCGAGGTCCTAATAAACACTGAAAGAATGAAAATGTGGATTTGAGAATAATGAAACCTGAACAATTGGGAATTTGGGTAAAAATAAAACCAGTGGTCCCAGTGGCACTGCCAAAGAAGGAATGAAAGCCCACAAAAACTGATTTATTGTTGTCAGAAATTAATATCATTTTGTTTTGGGTCTTAAGCCCCCACCCCTTCTTCTTCGTGAAGTCCATCTGCTTCATCCAATCAGAAAGCAGCTCATTGTCCTGTTGGAACGCCCAACTGGGTCCAACGTTCAACCATCTAGATCAGGTATAGCCAACTCCAGTCCTCCAGGGTTAACATCCTGCTAGTTCTCGGTGCTTCCTGCTCTACCACACCTGGGTGGAGTAATTTAGTCCTCTCCTTAACTCTGCACAGGCCCGTTAATTACTCATTCATTTCAATCAGGTGTGTAGGAGCAGAGAAACAGCTAACATGTGCAGGATGGTAGCCCTCCATCACCGGAGTTGGTGACCACTGATCTAGATGATGATCTCAGGTGGAGTTAAAGAACAAGAAGGTGGTCCTCCTCCATTATTCCACTTTGTGCACCAGAACCACATCATGATGCTGATGCCTCCATGCTCGAACAGATGGTTCAGCGTTCTTGGGTCCTCTCCTCCAGACAGACTTGTTGTCATTTGTAGACAAACGGCTCCATCTTTCTTCTGTCAGACCATAAAATCTTTCTCGAGAAGACGTTTGTCTTGTCCACGTGGACAGCTGTAGGTTCTAGTCCAGCAGGAGCTTCTTCTCTTCATCCATGTGGACTGACTGGTTTCACTGTGGACAGAGACACTGGTGTTCCTGCAGGTTCCAGTTCACTTGGACCTTGGTGGTTCCTGGTTCATTCCTGAACATCTCAACTAACTTCCTTCAGTCTGAGGGGGACAGTTTCGGTTTCCTCCCAGACTTTTGCAAAGTGTGTGACACATCTGAGCTTGCACTTGTTGGATCTTGGGTCCAAAGTTGTTTCGAGCAGGTTTAAGGGAGCCATATTTAAGACTTTTTAAGACCGTTTTTAAGGCCACTTTGACTAAATTTAAGCAATTTTTAAAAATGAAATTTAATTCAATTCAATTCAAAAATACTTCATTAATCCCAGAGGGAAATTGATTGCTGTAGTAGCTCAGAATAATAATAATAACCAAGTCATCAAAGAGTTGTTGTATATTACAATGGCTGTTGGCAGGAAGGATCTCCAGTAGCGGTCAGTGTTGCAGCCAAACTGAAGAAGCCTCTGACTGAAGACGCTCTTCCGTTGTCGGACAGTCTTGTGAAGAGAATGCTCAGGGTTGTCCATCATTTTCTTGATTCTCTGGAGAATCCTTCTTTGCATTATCTCCTCCAGTGGTTCCACAGTCGTCCCCAGAACAGAACCAGCCTTTTTATTAGGCTGTTGAGCCTTTTCAGGTCCCTGCTTCTGATGCTGCTACCCCAACAGACGATGGCTGAAGAGATTACACTCTCAACAACAGACTTGTAGAAGATCTGCAGCATCTTGCTACAGACATTGAAGGACCTAAGCGTCCTCAAGAAGTGCAGTCTGCTGTGTCCCTTCTTGTAAACGGCTTCGCTGTTCTTTCTCCAGTCCACTCTGTTGTCCAGGTGAACTCCAAGGTATTTGTATTTCTCAACCACCTCCACTTCTTCTCCCACGATGGAAACAGTGTTTGACTCCACCCTGTTTCTTCTGAAGTCTAAAATCATCTCCTTTGTTTTGTTCACGTTCAAGGTCAGATGATTGTTTCCACACCATTCCACAAAGCACTCCACCAGCTCTCTGTACTCAGCTTCCTGTCCATCTCTGATACACCCGACAACTGCAGAGTCATCTGAGTATTTCTGTAGATGACAGGTCTCTGATTTGTACTGGAAGTCTGAGGTGTACAGGGTGAAAAGGAATGGTGAGAGTACAGTCCCCTGTGGTGCTCCAATGTTACTGATCGCCTGGTTTGATGTGCAGTTCTTCAGCCTCACAAACTGTGGTCTGTTTGTCAGGTAGTCTTTAATCCAGGTGATAGTTGAGGCCCCCACCTGTGTGTTCTGGAGTTTCTGGCAAAGTACATCAGGCTGGATTGTGTTAAATGCACTGGAGAAATCAAAGAGCATGACCCTCACAGTGCCGCCTGCTTTGTCCAGATGACAGTGGGTTGGTTGAAGCAGCTGGATGATGACATCTTCAACTCCAACTCCATGGCAATAAGCGAACTGCAGTGGGTCCTGATATGTTCTAGTCTGCTTATTCAGGTGGACCAACGGGAGTCTCTCCATGACCTTCATGATGTGGGATGTCAGGGCAACCGGTCTGTAGTCGTCATTGACTGATGGGCGAGTTTTCTTTGGAACTGGAACAAGGCAGGATGTCTCCCACTGGACTGGAACCTTCTCCTGGGCCAGGCTGAGGTTGAAGAGGTGCTGCAGAATCCCACAGAGCTGCTCTGCACAGGCATTCAGTACCCTGGGGCTGACACCATCTGGACCTGCAGCCTTGTTCCTGTTCAGTCTCTCCAGCTGCCTCTTCACCTGACTTCAAGAGACAGATCAGTCGGAGGGGGAGGTAAATGGGGCAGTAGCATCTCCTGACTTGAAGACAGATTTTTAGAACCAGAAGCGTCCATGACTGCGTTAGAGGACAAAAGAGCTGGCATGTGACAGGAAAATGTTGGATCAGACGAGGATGGGATGTCTGATTGGCTGGGGACAGGCAAGGAGGATGCTGGGTTTGTTCCTGAACTGACCTTATTGAAGAACTTGTTCAGTTCATTGGCTGTGCCCAGGCTGCCATCTGTGCAATCCTTCGTCTGCTTGAAGCCTGTGATCTTCTTCATCCCTGACCAGACATCTCTGATATTGTTCCTCTGTAGTTTGTTCCCCAGCTTCTTCCTGTATGCCTCCTTGCTGTCTCTGATCTTGATCTTCAGTTGCTTCTGTATACTCCTCAATAATTCCCTGTCTCCCTCCTTGAAGGCTCTTTTTTCATTTAGCAGATTCTTCGGTTCACTGGTGATCCAGGGTTTGCTATTAGCGAAGCATCTTACTGTGTTCTGGTGGGTATGATGTTGTCCACACAGAAATTTATATAGTCAGTGACACATCCAGTCATGGCATTGATGTCCTCTTCATATCCTTGGCAGAGAGTCATCCAATCTGTGGTCTCAAAACAACCCTGCAGGGCTTCTTCAGCATCCAGTGACCATTTTCTAACAGTTCTTCTTGTCACTGGTTACCTCTGAACAAGTGGTTTGTATTCTGAGCAGAGAAAAACAAGATTGTGATCTGATTGTCCCAGAGGAGGTCTTGTTTTGGACATGTATGCATTCTTTACATTTGCATAACACAAATCCAATGTCTTGTTTTCTCTGGTGGAGCAGCGGACAAACTGTTGAAATTTTGGAAGTGTAGCAGAGAGCGAGACATGATTAAAATCAACAGATATAGCCACAAATGCATTGGAGTGCAGGGTTTGTAGCTTAGCGACAACGGAACTGATGGCATCACATGCATTTTCAGCAACTGCTGAAGGTGGAATCATATAATATAATTTCCAGCTATTGCCTGGAACCGGTGCTAACCACGTCGCGGACGTGGGATTAGCCATCCATTTACCATTAAACTTGCACTTCCCCATGGCGCAAGCTCCCACTAGCTTAACCAGCTAATGTGCTCATCTAAAAATAGCCCCCTTTCACAACCAACTGAATGTGTACGGTTTCGCTTACGCCAACATCGTACACAAAAAATGCTGAACACCAACTAGAAATTCAAGAAATTTTTATAGAAATAAAATAATCTTGTTTATTGGGTCTTTGGTAATTGAAGACCTTTGGAAACTGTATTTAAGGATTATTAGTCATTTTAAAGGATTTTTAAAGCCTTACATTTGGAAAAGCAAATGTACGACTTTTTAAGGACCCGCAGATTCCCGTTTGTTGTGGCTCCAAGTTGTGCAGATCTACACGCGTCCTTCTTGGGTCTTCACCGAGTTCTTCAGACGTTCCTGTTCTAGTACTGGTCAGCCCAATCAGTGTCACAAAACGGAACGTTTTTTATGGTGCAAATACAAGCTTTCTGCTGCTGTCAGTCATGATCAGGAAGTTAATGAGCCTCATCAGGGCAGAAGACCTTCCACAATTCAGATTTAGGTGAGGTATCTAAATATTTGAGTCTGCCAGTATAGTTTTAACTGTGGGAGAGAGAAAATCCACAATACAGTCAAACCATAATAGAAGCTCTATGTTGTATTCATTAACCCACCCTGGAAGAATAATGGTTGTACTCAGTGGATAAAAGAACAAATGTCTGACATCCATACTCATGATGAGTGGATGTAAACATCTGATCACGGCTGTGCAGAAGAGATGTGGAAAAGCCAGAAACTCTGGGTTTATGAATGATCTTGGGTGTTTTCCTCCATCTTCTTCCTGCAGACATGAAGGAGCCGGTGTTCGAGTTCATCAGACCCCCGGTGTACCACCCTCCACAAGTCAAATTCCCACACGGGAAGCCTCTGCGCTACCTGGACCGATACAGAGATGGGAAAGAACACACCTATGGAAAATACTGATCATGTGACTCACACCTGGGAGAATCCAACCATTTAACCCTGTAATTGATTCTTTGGGGGAGTATTTATGTTGTCATGCCAATAAAAACATTTTTTTTCCAAATGCAAGTGCAGGATGTTTTCCGTTCATCAGTGGTGTTCAATCAATCAATCAAAGCTTTATTTATATAGCGCCTTCTGCAACCCTGTCGGGTAGCCCAAGGCGCTGAACATAGTAAATGACAAAGTTAAATATGGTGAATAAATCGAAAATAAAAGCAGTTCAAATTACAAAAAAGGTAAAACATTCTAGTAGAAGACAAAAGGATAAAACAAGGGTTAGAGCGAACCAATGAAATCTATTAAAACTCGGATAATTACATAACTGATAGTTCCTTTCTCATAAGAGGAACTTCAGCTCAGGCTTAACCTTTATCCCTAACCCCAGAAGCCGGCTGGGATCAACAAGGCTCCTGCAGCATCTCTGGATCTGAAACTGCACATCTGCTGTATCAGAATTCTACGATACCCTTGCCGCCAGTTCAGTGGGGCCCTGAGACAGGATCGTGTGGAGACCCTTCTCCTGGCCAGCACAGTCCACTGGGTCCATTCCAGCAAGAGGTAAGCCAAGAACCAGACGTACTCTGTAGTCCAGTCTGGCTCCCCACGCAAGTAAGGCCTCTGCGAGCACGAGCCGGGTCCGTCCGCTCAAATGGTCAGGGGTTGTACCAGGCTGCTGGATCACAAGTAGAGGCATTTAAGTGTTAACGCGTCGATAAGGCCTCGATGTCGAGATAAACTCTAAAAGAGGAACTGATAAGAGAAAATCAACTAGACAAATAGAACTCTTAACTAGGAGACACTATTCAGCCTAAAAACTTAGCGGATATTAGTGGTCCTGAGGGGACGAGCTCTCTATTGTCCAGTTATCTCAGTGAACACAGCTCGACGCCGGATGATTACTACGACTTGGTAGTGCCCAGCCCTCGCTCTAGCTCTCTTGGTTTCTTGTGATTAGTCTCAGTGTATTTTTGGCTCTTGTACGTTTTTTTGGACCTTGTGTAATCTTTGTATTTTTGGACTCACCCACCTCAGGCTTTCCGCTCATCTGGAATTACTCACTCGAACTCCATAGGACTCCTGGACTCCGCATTCAGCCACGTTCATCATCCTCCTCCCGACCGACCCGCTCTCACTCTCAAACCCTGCGCTCCCTCTCCAGCTCAGGAGATGTCCCTTCTGGATCATCCTCGGCTCTCTACCTCCCCTCATTCCCCAAACCAAATCATCTCCCGTAAGTCCCCTCTCAGTATTCCTGCCTAGACTGTTTATCTCCTGGACTCACCTCTGGTTTGCTCTCCCTCAGACCCTGGTTCCCGTTTTCTCCCCCGATCCGCTGGAATTCTCAGCGTGCCCCAAGTTCCCCTTAAATAATAAATTCTGTTTTACTTACCTTCATTCTGTGTCTGGAGTTGTGATTCTGCATGTCTTGGGTTAGACTCCTCCCCAAAACCATGACTGTGTGTGTGTGTGTGTGTGTGTGTGTGTGTGTGTGTGTGTGTGTGTGTGTGTGTGTGTGTGTGTGTGTGTGTGTGTGAGAGAGTGAGTGAGTGAGTGAGTGAGTGAGTGAGTGAGTGAGTGAGTGAGAGAGTGAGTGAGAGAGAGAGAGAGAGAGAGTGAAGTTTTAGTGCCCAACCTTTAAAATTGCAATTGCTGGTTTTGGTAAAGGTCATACATATGTATGCAAATTCAAGTTCAAGTTTATTTATATAGCGCCAAATCACGACAAGAGTCGTCTCAAGGCACTTCACATAATAAACATTCCAATTCACAGTTCATTAAGCCAATCAGAAATAATGTTTCCTATATAAGGAAATATATATGTCAATGTTAATTTGAATTAGTATTTGCCAAACACTTAATCCAATCCTAATGTGTGACAGTTAGCACAGGTACCCCAAAGTCATTGTTGACAACTGTAAATACATTTGAATGGTGGACGTTGAAAGGAAAAACTGACTTATTCTGTTATCAAACGGTCAAAAGACAAGCCTCCTAAATAGTTACCTCCACTCCCAAGATGCTTTGTACAAGAATGCTCCAAATGTGTTTAAAAACAAGCCCAAGCTGCCCAACTTAAACCCCTATCAACTCTTTTAAAACAAACACTTTCGTCAACATACACGACAAATGTACATTTGTGTGACAAAAGTGGTCGGAAAACCCCCAAGTGACCCAAAAATTATGAATTTATCATTTCCAAATGCAGCCACGGGCCTGCGGAGTGGGTAATGTGTTTTAATGACCCTACAGCCCTAACCAACACTTTTATGTTTGACAGTTTCATACATTGTCACATGAGCGTGCAGTACCACTGAGACAAAAAAGAAACAAGGTGGGACAGTAAAAAAAGTTGAAATTTTGAGTTTTATTTTCAGTATTAATTCAAAATGTTGAGATAAAAAAAAAGAAAGCAAAATAATATTTCAAGAAAAAAAGGTTTAATTTTGGGATTAAAAGGGAGAATCAGAAGACACGTCTTCCAAATCATCACATAGATGTTCTCTTGTCTTGTCTTGTGGATCTCTGTTGCTGATTTTAAGCAACGTGGACGTTGTACAGAGCCGGACACCCAATCGTTCCCAACTTTTCTAAAGCTTTGTTATCTATCTATATAAAGAAATGACCTTCCTGCTGCTACAAGGAGACACAAAAAGTTGCAAGTATACTTAGATCATCAATTAGCTCATTTTATAGTACATCTGAATGTTCATCAAAGCTCGTAACACTTAGTGCTGAGAGTGCATCAGTAGTCCTTCCATAGGTGCATTGTCAGGACCCGGTCCGTAGAGGCGCTGCCGTGCAGGCTGATCTCGCCACCAGTAACCGCAGTCTGGAGCCTGACGACTGGATCAGGTTCTTCCCACTGAAAAGGCAACGGGATTAGGTACACGTGTCGTAACTAAAGCTTTCTGTCCAGATTCGATTGGAAATGTGAGGTGTTCTGGACTTCCTACCTCTCAAAGTCCAGGCCAAGCAGACTAACTCCGTTAACAGCAAGGATCCTGTCTCCTGGCTTCAGCCTCTTACAGCGGGCTGCAGGAGAGTCTGGGGCCATGGCACGGATGAAGACACCCTTCTGCTTCAGCGATGTGTCCTAGAACATGTGTCAAAAGGTCAAACTCTCAAATTTCACAGAAGATGCCAACATTTTGTCCCGCAGACCCGGTTGTCTCCGAGACAAAGAACTTTCTTCGTGATCTCGGTTTGATGCTGTTTGTGTTTGAGCTTTCTGCCTTGATCCAAACAGCTGCACACATCATCCTGACACGCGTGTTGTTGGTCACTGGGAGGAAACTGGTGAAAACCCACTCAGGTGTGTGGGGCACATGTTACTCCACGCAGCTGGGATTTGAACCTATGACCTCTACTCGCTACAAGCTAACAGAGCTAACACCTGCATCACCATATTTCTTCAAAATTAAATATGTCTTATTTATTTATTTTGTTTTCAAAACACGTCTATTTACATTTATAGAGTCTTCGTAACGTCAGCCAGACTGACTGAAGCCACATTTGTGGTTGTGGAACCAAGCTGGCAGCCTGCAGCTGTGGACAGACTGGGAGCAGAGTCGCCGCTCCTCCACCCTCAGGACTCGAGATGGAAGCAACTAAACGTACATTTGGATAAACAGCCGAGTTCTGACGGTATCCGCTCACCCTGGTGTCCACCAGAGCTAGGCCAAGTCCTCCTTCTCCCCGTTCCAACGCCAAGCTGAACACTTCATCATGGTCATCTCCCTCCTCTTCCTCCTCTTCTTCTGTAAGCTCCACAAGTGTTGTAGAGCCGTAGTCTGCTTTTACGTGACCTGCTTTCTGTGCAGCCAGGCACTCTAAAACTAACTTTCCTACAGAGACAAGAAACACCTTTAATGTATTCTTTCAGCACGCGACTTTCAGCTGAAAGATCTAATTATACCTTTACTGTCCGCAGCCCGCGACACAGGAGCTGTCTTGCAGCCGCCTCTCTGCAGTTCAAACAGGTGGGGAGCGCTGGGCACGCTGGGGAGGCATGCGGGCTCCAACGCTGCTCTCCTGAACTCACTGGCCTCTGTGTCCTCAAGATCCAGATGTTTAAGCTTCTGGCTCAGAATGTGTCCAGCATCACAGCTGAGGTCATCCCGATGGTGAGAGGGGGGTGATGGAGGTAGAGCAGCATCTGCTGATGGACGGAGGACGTCCAGGAGTGTGTTTTCAAAGGTGTGAGTCTGAGACGGTTTCATCTGTCAGACAAGAAGAAATAACAACTTCGGGTATTTTGAGCATTTGCTGTGTTCCTATGCAGATTTAGCTCTGCTACATGAGCCAGTTGTACTGGTTATAGTAGTAAAGTCAAGTAAAGCTGTTCAGAGTTGTTAAACATTAGTTTGTGTGATGGTGCCACGTTTTCAGCCTGATCTTATCTCGGTCTGATGTACAATCTACCTTTGGGGGTAGAAGTTGTTTTGCACATTAATTAGAATTGAAACACTTATCAGTTTATTAAACACACAACAACACCGAATCCCTGCAACAGTCCCCTTTCACATCTGTCTGTGTTGGTTTAGGAACGAGGATTTTAGTTGATGAAGTTTAAATCTAAGTGTTAGAATAAGTCACAAACCTAATCACGCTGAGTGTGGGAGTGCGGGAGGTGCTTCTCTGGATCAGTTAGATCAGTAGATGAGGATGAGGAAGAACATCAGTCTTTTCGAGGCGCTCTGATGTTTTATTTTACTGAACAAGAAAAAGCCGATGCGTTTCAGTCGCGTACGACCTTCTTCAGGGTATAAAGTCACATCCCCGATGTCTCTGTTGATGACCTCCATTCCAATCACTGTTAAATCTTTTGGGTGAAAGTTTGAGGAGGTGCGAAAATGTTTAGCATTGGGGTGAGTCACATTACCCGTTCAAATTGCATATTTGTGCTCTCCAACTCAATCCTGTAACCTTCTTTGTGTGAGTCCCACATAGAAACACCCACAACCGATACGCTACATGTGTAGTGTTGCAATTTGCAAACTGTTGGCACTAACAACATCGGCGTCCTGACCAATCACAAGCTTGCGTTCTCTGTCTCGACGGACAGATATTTAGAAAAGAGAGCCTGCTGGAGAGCTCTGCAAGGACTGACGGAGTCGAGCTCTCTTTTCTAAACATCCGTCCGTCGAGGCAGAGAATGCAAGCTTGTGATTGGTCAGGGCACCGCTGTTGTCTACACCGCCGCCATTGCGCCCTCAAAAACATAAAGAGAGCTGAGAATAACTAGTGGCAGACACGGAGAAGCTTGAAGAATACCTCGTGGAAAAACTCTAAAATATGAACGTTTAAATCCCCGTGACTGGAGGAGTCAGAAGATGCGCAGCAAGCGTTTTATTTGTGGACGGAAATGACAGGAAACGTGGGTTTAGAGGTGGCGAGCGCATGAAGAGGCGGAGGAGGATGAGAGACAAATTTGTCTGTGTTAAATCTCTGAAAAACAAAAACACAATATAAGCACACTATCTTGGACCGATACATGACAGGATACCACAGAACAGCGCTACGCCCTCTGCTGTCCTGGCGGGGAATTGCTTTGCAACACTCCCCAGGAGACGGAGAAGTATGAGAGCAAAACGTCCATGTCAATCATCAGGGTGCCTCGAATCACATGTTTTACTTCCTCGTCGTCATCTGAAAATGTTTTCTTTCTTCCCGTTTGCTGGTTTTGCTTTTATGTCCTTTTTTGTGTGACGTGCTCTGATTCCTGTAACCAAGGACAACCAGCCATACAGCAGCAGCTGCAAACCAGCGGGTGAAGGCTAAATCAGACTATAATGGTGGGGCTGGTTTGGCTTCTCAGATTTCGGGGCGGGTACCTGAGCATCGGAGAAGGTGGTAATGAAGTGTCTGAGCATGTGCAGCTGGTCCCTCAGAGCTGAATCAGTCACAGCTCTTCCCAGCTGGAGCCGGTAACCTTCATCCGGCAGCACCAGAGGGTGATGAGTGTCAAAGCTCTCCAGAATATCAGCTGAGAAGAGCAAAGTGCATCGTGATGTTTTTGAAGGGACACGCCTTTAATGATCACATTCGTAGTATGCTGATGTCTCACCAGTGGTTTGCACCGCTGCACTGTCTGCTGTGGATGGTGTCCACGTGTGTCCGTAGGGTGGAGCCGGGCTGTACAGACTCAGCAGGTGGTTCAGCTGGGTTGGAGTCAGGGCGGGGTAGTCGGAGCGCAGTGACACCCAAGGTGTCTGCAGCACGTGTAGGACAAACCACAAAACAATACTGAAGGTGATGAGATGTTCAACTAGAACAGCAAATATGAAAGCTCAGCTCGACAGGCGGCCGCCACTAGCAGAAGAAAGAGGCCCGGTTCGCACAGCCAACTTTAAAGACGGTTCATCAAGCGAGACCCCACGAAGAAAACGTCATGGGTGAAAAAGTTTGGTCAACATCGTGCGGCTGAAGACAACACACCAACATTCCAGAGGGGAATTCTCGCTATTCTCGCCATCAAACACGACCTCAGAGTAAACACCCCCTGCAGCGTGCTTCGTCACCTCACTCTGATGGCTACACGTCACATTCACAAGGCTGCACGCTCGCTTGTCTGCGAGCCAAAACCATCCCACATGGTGAATATCCCCAAGCAGAACAGCTCCGATGTCCTTCCGAGCATTCCGGGGCCGCCGTTGCCATGGTTACCCACGAGATGCCATCGATCAGCAGATGATTTAAATGCTGAATGTTCACAACATACTTTGCATTCACCACTGATGTCAGAAAGTGGGTGTGTAGGAGGCGGGGTGTGGTCCAGGAACACCGGAGCTCACTTCTAGCCCAGGTGGGATTTGGCTGGAGCTGCTGCTGCAGCTGCGTGTCTGCAGTGTTTTACAGATCGCAGCAATTAGCTTTTGTAGTTTTTCTTCCTGAGTGAAGTTTTAGCGAGGATTTTATGCAGTTTTATAAAGTGATCATTTTCATTTTAATTAAATTTGAGTCTTTTGACTAAAATTATTTTTCATTTTAGTCGTAATTTAGTCGACAAATTAGTTTTAATGTCGTCAGAGGAAACGAGACAGAGCCGGTGACGCTTTCCTGGAACCAAACATCTTTTGTTGTCTGCAACTTCAAATGGTGTTTTTGTTGGGACTCTTGTTAGTCCTAACGTCGTCCCAAAGCATACAGGACTAAACAGGAATGTGCAGAAAAGATGTGTGTGTAGGATCAATCATTTTTACTGGATCTAAACTTTATTTTTCTCCAAGTTTTGCTTTTTTACCTTCTAATTGATAAGTGCAGCCCGGTTCTAAAACTGGTTCTTGCTAACGTTCCTGCTGTGCTGCTGGTGACGAATTACAGGACAAACAAGCCTGTAAATAAAATCTAAACTTTACTAAAGTCTCAACAGCAAGACTGAAAGTCATTAAAGGTAAATGAGCTGTAATTCATATAACGCCTTCTAGAGTCCTAGAACCCCCCAAGGTGCTTTACACTGATGCACACACCCTGGTGGTGATGAACTACATTGTAGCCGCAGCTGCCCTGGGGCAAACTGACAGAGGAGGGGCCTGCTGAGCGCAGGTGCCACCGGCCCCTCCAACCACCACCAGCGGGCAAGGCCCAAAGACAAAACAGCAGCATTCTCCACTGGCAGCCGGGATCAAACCTACAACCCTCTGATTACTGGTAAAAATGGCCTGTATTTGATATAGCGCCTTCTAGAGTCCTGGAACCCCCCAAGGCGCTTTACAACACAATCAGTCATTCACCCATTCACACACACATTCACACACTGGTGGGGATGAGCTACGATGTAGCCCCAGCTGCCCTGGGGCGCACTGACAGAGGCGCCACCGGTCCCTCCGACCACCACCAGCAGGCAACGTGGGTTAAGTGTCTTGCCCAAGGACACAACGACAGCGACAGACTGAGCAGGGCTGGAACCTGCAACCTTCCGATTACGGGGCGATTCAACTGGACAACCCGCTCCACCTGCTGAGCTGCTGTTGTCATGAACTAAGATCCTCTTTACCTGCTCCATCTTGAGAAACACAACCCCAGCTGCTGGGCTTAAAAACAGCTGCCAAAGCATTTCTTTTTTCAGAATGTCAAAAAGGTGCATTTCATCTGTTGCATTAGACAACATTTAAAAATAAATGTGTTTTTATTATGAAGGACTAGAGGAGAGGACTTTTATTTGGAGCCTGGTGCTGCGGGGTGTGTGGGTTTTGTTCTTACTTGCAGCAGGTTCTTTCTAGGTGTAGCTAGCAGATTGATAGCTGATGAGAGTGTGTGTATCTGCTCCGAGGCCAGTTCTCCCAATCCAGCTGCATGGGCCCAGTCCAAGACCAGGTCCAGGTTGGCCCGCATGTGCACACCTCTGGACCACTGGTAGAACCCAGGTTGTGAGCCTGTGTACACATCAGCAGACACTGATCCTAGAAAAGGGTTATTCATTCAGACAGACAATGTGGGATGATCCCGTGTTGAACAGCATGTCCTGGTTTTGATCTCTACAGGATGTAGTGACCGTCTCCAGTGTCTGTGCTTTGGCACAGAGTAGACCAACAGAGGGAGGAAATGACATTGTGATCAGTGTGTACTGACGCTGGTTCTGGTGCTGGTACCTCTCTCCATGAGTGAGTTGAAGAGTGATGCGTTAATGAAGTAGAAGAGATAGCCAATGAGCTGTGAGGAGACCTCGGGGTGGACCTGACAGTCTGTGAGTAGCCTCCAGCTCTCGTTTAGAACCTCCACCACCTGACGGACCTCTCCAGGGACCCGTAGACCAGCATCGCAGAGGACCCGGCCACAGTTACCCGACACCTGCGAGCCAGGACTCCCTCTGAATGGGTTGCAGTCCAGAAGTCCTGGCAGAATGGGGTAAAGTAGCTGGTTGGACAGAAAAGGAAACACCAGATCAGCGTGACTCACCAGACGGTCGACTGTGTGAGTTAGAGTCTGGAAAAGCTACCGAGTGGTGGCTGAAATGGGATAAACCAAAACAACTCTGCTTTCAGACCACCCATATCACATGTGTGCATCTCCAACATGGCTTCTTCATGCTGACGTGAAATAAGAGCATTCATAACATCTCTTTTTTTTTACTCTAGCGGTCCTTCCTGTTCCTCAGAGTGAGCCCAGACAACCACAGCTTTGTTCAGGCTAATTGTACGCAGACATCCCTTTGCCCCTTCGGCCTCACTCCTACTCCCACAAAGCGTCCCAGGCAAGAGCCAGCTATACATCCACATTCCTGAAAGGCTGAATATGGTTGTGAACTTGAGCTTGGCATGACGTTTGCTGAGTGAGGAGCATTGAAGGAATCCACCCAGAGGAGATAAGTGTACCATAGAGCCCTGTCAGCAGCAGCAGGGTTGGGGGAAGGCTGGCTCTGTGTGAGAATGGAAATGAACAAGCAGTTAGGAAAATACTCCTGCAAGGAGCTGCTGACTGGAACATGTCACAGAGTGGAGATAAAGCAGCGAGGATAGCGCTGGTTACTGAGATGACCACATGCATCTATGGCATGCATTAAACTGGAGGCTCAAGAAATACAATGCATTGTGTGCTTTTTTGTGCTTTCAGTTGGACGAAGATGGAAACACGCAGTCTGACCACAAGCCCGCTCATAGCACGCCTTCATTCATCACATCCATCCAGCTGGAATGGCTGCTCACCAGTGGCGCCTGCTGGGTTCCATCCCACATCCATCAGAACGATTAGCTCACAACACGCTAAAATAAGCCAATCAGGTCCGTGTCTTGTTTTTATCCCCCACTGGAAAGAGCATGTTTGTGGATATGAGATAGCTGAATCTACGCTAGCACCTTCCCTGTACTTCCCTCTGTAATGCGCCCTATCTCTACTCTCTTGACCGAGCCTGACTGGTATTTCTTCTTCCAGGAGTTTATTCAAAGCCTCGGTGGTAACTGGTTACATCCTCGTTTGTAAGTTGCTCTAGACAAAAACATTACCTAAACACAAAGTCTGATGAGATTTCAGTGAAACTGTAACAGTTAGGCCTCCAGTTCTGGTGCAAAGGTTTTATGCAGGTGTGGAAAATGCTGTAAACAAAGAAAGCTTTCAGAAATGGAAGAGTCCATCCTTTATTTTCATCAATCAACATGAAGCAGTGAACGAACAAAAGAGACAAGTCTCTAGCCCGTCGCAGGGGCAAACAACCACTCACACACCAACTCACGCCAGGGTCCACCCACCCTGCCGTGCATGCTGAGGAAACCCACACATGCACGAGGAGCAGGGTGTGCTAGCTCCACACCGGACAGCTGCAACCAGTATTTCAACCTGCAACCTTCTTGTTGCAAGCCAACAGTGCTATCAACTGAGCCACCATGCAGTCCCTTCTCCTTAACTACTTTTGTCAAATCCTCAGAAGGTAATATTTATACGTTCAGTTACAACGATCAACTTTTAGAGTTGGCCTAAAGCCTGATTTATACGTCTCCGTCTGCGTCGTCGTGGAGACACACAACGCCATCATGCGTCGGCACAAGGGCTCTCCAATGGGCTCACAGAGGGTGACGGAGACAAGCCAAAACTTTTAAACATCCGTTGAAAGTGATGGAGAACGCAAGCTTGTGATTGGTCAGGATGCCGCTTGCTGTATATTTGTCACCAGCACCGCTGTAGCTCCGTTAAAAAGTAAACAGATATTTAGCAGCAGATCCAGAACAGATTGAAAAACGCATCGTGGAAAATGTCCAAAAGTATGAACATTTATTCACCCGTGAGTAAAGGTGTACAAAATACGGAGCAAACGTGGACGGAAACGACAGAAATGTAGGTCTAGAGGTGGCGACTCGAGGAGTACAGACGCTTCTCTCTTTCACTCCCTTATCTTTTTTTCCCAAGGCTCTTTGTCCTGTCTGCCCACAGAGCGCTTCTCTGCATTTCTTCTGAAAATCTCTATTTTTAACCATGGATTTGATGAATTGGTCATTCAATGCGATTGATACGATTTTTTCAACAATGAGAATGGAGCAGGGGGCTCCCACATGTCCACAGGGGACACACCCGGTGGGATATATGCTGGATTCCTGGAAGGAGTGGATGATCATATGCCTCTCCCAGCTGTCCATTGAGGATGTCGAAGATGTGTGGATATTCGGCCTGATAATCACTGGATTTCTCCTGATTGGAGTGGGAGGATATCTGGTTTTCTGGAAATTTGGGAAGACGGGAGCGATTGGAGGGCGACCCACACCCACGGAAAGCACCGTCCGTGTGGAGACTTCTCAGACTGGGACGTTACTCGAGGTGAATCGTAAGCTGGACAATGTTCTAGCTGCGATACCGGTATTGGTGCGCAACATGGATGTCATGTCGGAGAGAGTCACCGGACGGTATGGACAAGTTTAAAACCAAAATTGGCTTCACTGAAGGACTGGAATGATCAGTTTAAAGACTGAAGGCAGAGGAAAATTATCTCAGCCTGACCCAAACAAAGTCTTGTTATCCGAATCTGACGCCCTGGTAGCCTTGAGTGGCTAGCAACAAACCCCCACGAAGGAATGCAGACAGATGCTGTGAAAACCCGACATAACCCCCCCCCCGCCTTCGGATTGGTGGACTTCAGCCTGGCGAGGTCATCAATCTGTAGGGGTCAATGTACTCTGCTTCTCCCAAGCTCTCCCTCCCACCTGTGACTGTACAGTAGATGAGCGCCGTAGATGGCTGCTCTCGCTGGGGGAAACAGGATTTCCCCCCCCCCCCCCCGCCCCCTTCCTATTGGAGTCTCATGTTATGTTGTCTGAAGTCTGTTGCATATTTGTTTGAGGTGTTTTTTTTGCAGAGCAAAGCTGCCCTCCTGGAGGGAGGGTAACTCTGAAGTGCCTTTTTTCCCTCCACCTGAACCAATCCTCATGTAACCCTCTTATCTCTATTAAGGTAGCGCGACTCAGGGTTGCGAATGACCACAGTCACCAATTCTTGTCATGTGTCTTGCCCATGTATGTCTGATCTCTGAATTGTGTGTACTGAAACTCTAATTTCCCTTTGGGTTTGATAAAGTATTGATTGATTGATTGAAGAGTTGGAGGAGACGAAGGATAAATTTGTCCGTGTTATAACGTCTCTGAAATATAGAAACACATTAGTAAATACACTATCGGGGACCGGAAACATGAGTGTTATGGTGACAGGATACCACAGAACAACGCTACGCCCTCTGTTGTCCTGGTGGGGAATTGCTTTGCCACACTCCACTGCCTGAACAGAAGTTCGAATGTGAAAACCTTTCCAACACTCCGTGTTCGTCTCTCCGCTGCGGAGCTCACGAAGGAGTATAAATCAGGCTTTAGGGAAGAGCTAACCAGATGGCTCGAACTCAGTCAGTTTTAGGAGGATTAGGTCAAAAGTTGTGTGATAGCTATACACGACCTTTACATGTGCATACTCAAGTGAGTACAGGTGTTGATGATCACCTCTTCAGGGGACTACTGACTCTGAAAATTCAAACGTGGGGGTGTTTAGAGCGTTGGTTACGGGCAGACTGCATAGGGTAAGCAGACAGAGCTGGCTTTTTTACCATTTGGCTGGTGTGGAGCAGTGTAACACATGCAGAAAAGAACAACTTAATACCAGTACGCAAGGACGAATGGTGGAAAATAAAATGGTATACACGCATTATTTTGGGCTTGCATGTGTACCTGCACACCGCGAACATGCATCAACTTCTGGAGTCAACCTATTTTATGCTAACAAAGCAAATCAATCTCAGCAAATGTAGAAAAAAAGCTCAAATCAGACAGTTTTAAAGACATAGCTGAGAGTTGCTTTAAAGATTGTATCGAAATGTCATAGTTGAATTATTTTACATAATGAGAGCTTAAAACTGGTATTTGGGTGATGTGAGCTACTTTATGAAACAATAGGTCTGTAATTTTGCTTCATTAATGTCACTATGGAGAAGTGTTAGTCTGTCATTAAAGTGACAACGTGTAGTTTTTACCAGTAATCTCTGGAGATATCCATCGAAATGTTGTAAATGAATTAAAAGATGCCCAGTTGCTGAAAAATATTGGCACTTTCACAACGTATAACTGTGATAATCTGTTCTAAAGTACATTGAAGTGGGTCTAAGTCTTAGGGCGACGCTATATCAGATGCCATGTTTCCTTCTACGGGAGCCCGTGAGCACTTAGTCGCCCAGAGACTTAGATTCGCTCCCATGTATTTTAGAACAGATTTTACTGGTTAAATGTTATGAAACTGCTAATATTTTTCAACAACTGGGCATCTTTTAATTCATTTACAACAACATTCCAATGGATATTTCCATAGGTAATCGTAAAAAGTACACACCGTCACTTTAATGGGATTGAAACAAAAGTTAGCCTTCAGCCTTTGAATCCATTGTAAGGGTTTAATCTTCCTGCTGCCAAAAAATGACCATGAGCTCATCTGGAATCCACAAACGTGCTGCTGAGGGGACGGGATCATTAGCTCTTTGTAGCGATTTTGTGAAATTCTTCATGCGTCAAAGCTTTTTGTCAGGAGACCAACAAGTTTTGGAATATGGGACAAATGTTGAGTTAAAACGAAAACTACTCAACAAGCTAGCTAAATGTAATGCGGCAGAGCGAGTCTGAAAGTCGCACAGTAAAACATGCCATGTCGGGCCGAGGCCATAAAACCTGCAGAAGTTTGGCTTAACAGATGACTTTAATGGCTCTTTGAAAAGCATTTGATACAGCTGAAGTTCACGTTTTCAGATTATTTATGGTTTAACTGACAAACCACATCTGGAAGCCATTTGGATCATCAGGCTGACTTACTGAGAGCAACAGAGCTATACGAGAGCAGGTAGTTAGACAACCACAGCCTTCTGCACCGAGCAAGAATGTGCTGCCTCAAACTTACAGAACATTCCCTGTTGTTGCCTCTTTAATGTTTTGTCCTACTTTGTTCTTTCTTGTGTGGGAATCTACAAAAAGGCAGAAAAATGGTGCATCGGGCTCAGATCTGAGGTCCAGCTGGCACAACATGTGAGACCTTGGCTTGCCTCCTGCTAACGTCATGGCAGACCACTAACGCTGTCCCTGATTTGGTTAAATACTCAGCATGTCACGGCCCAGTGTTCAGTCAATAGCTACTGCTGGTTTGGAGCGTCCACTATGTCAGGAGAAAGCATTTACCACTCTATCAAAGACAGTTTTAATGTCCTCGTACACTACTGTTTGGGGATGGAGTAAAGTGGTGAATCTGTGTTTTCATCAACCTAAAGAAGCCCGCCTCTCTCTTTTACTTTTTATTTGGACAGCATTTTGACCCACGCCCACGTAACTCAGATGGAAACTTGTCTGAAACTTTCCTGGGAACACTTCCATGGGTGTGGTGCCGCTTTGGTGAAAATGTGGAGAACAAGACCAGAACAAAACCCAGTGACCTCATGAGCTTCATTGTAGTGGCTAAACTTGATGTTGTGCCTTTGATTTGGAGGACCTTACTTTGCATAACCCATAGGAATCAAGCTGAATCCCACTGTCACTGTAATGATGGCCCAAGAACATGGATGGAAGCTAATCACCTAGTTAGCGTAACACCTGGGGAACATTGAACGTTACTTATGATACGTTTGCTAGTTTCATTTGGACAGGAACATATTTTGGCACTTCTGACAGTTTTATTGTTTTTTCCTCATTAAAAACAAACACCCCCAAAGCGGTTTTAGGCTTCACACTTGAATCCGGCTCTCTGAGCTGTGGATCTGCTGCTGATCCGTCAGACATAGCTAACGGCTAGGAGGGGATGCTACCTCATCATGTCTCGCCCCTCCTCATCCAGGAGGTACCTAACCTGCACACTCCTCCCCTGTACTGACCCTTTGCTTGTGACGTTACGCCGCTCCTGGGACCGCCCCCTTCACTATAATAGATGGCAGAGAAACTGTTTACACATGTTGAAACTCCTGTGAAGCCATCAAAACAAGCTCATTTCTAGCCTTATGTAGCGTCATGAATGTCCTGTTTATGACCTAAAGGTCATGATCTGCTGCATCTGCTCGAGCAGAGACATAAAGTCTCTGACACAGGCCTGATCTACATGAGATAGTGGCCAAGGTCTTTCATGCACTCTGCGCATCTGAACTGCTTCACCTCTGTTACAGCTCAAGACGAAGACGAAGAACTATTTTGATAAATACATAATCAACAACTTTGTTATTACCAAGAATAACGTGAGCTCAATGTTCAATCAGTCTGTGAAATGACAATGTTATTACTTGATATTATAATCCTGTGATCAGTAGTATTTTACAAGTTATTATAATCCCGGACATTTGCACTAGACACTAATGACACAATGCTAAAGTCACACGACACATTTCCTTTTGTCTGACCCAATCAGAACCTCCATTTCTGGGGCTAGGCGTGGTTTTCTGTGGTGTTTGTATAAACCCTCTTTGGCATGTCAAATTCTGATTCGCCAGTAAACCAAAATATAACAGTTATAAAAACTATCCCACGCCACCTTCCCCTGAGTTCAAGCGTTCTAGAGAAGTCTCGGACCGGCCATCCGGACTTCGTCTTCAGCCATAAAGAACCTCGACAAGCTGGATAAAATCTGTTGCAAGTTACACCTGACCGCAACGGTTCCTTCAGAATAAAAGCCGAACCTCACGACCCCTTCAGGGTCTCAGAGACGCCAGTGATAACCTGTCGTGACCTGGAAGCATTCCACGACTTGTTTGGTCGGCACCGCTGCTTTTCTACTGGCTTCGGTACCAATTAGGGTCCAAGAGGACCTCGGCAATCTGGATCTGACGGAGGCTTCCCCTGGGGTACGTAGACCGACAGATGGTGTTTCATGTGTGTTATAAACATCCTACTAAAGCTTAGAGCGAAACGTTCTCTCCCACTCAGAACTAAATGCTTCTCCGGATCCGCTGGTTCTGATAACAACATTCCACACACACACCATCATCATTCATCAGTTCTCACTCCACCTTAGTCCATCAGCACACAGAGTGTTAAAGTTAGTCTTGTTTAAATTGTGTAGAAATAAATTTCTGAACTATTTTAAACCTGACTCTCTCCCTTTCCTTGGAGTTAATACGAAGTATCGCTTAATCCCTGCAATAAAAAGTTCTGATCTTCTGGTTAAAATAGTCAAAGATCCATCAGATTGATGTTTCATATTTCTATGGAATCTCACATTTTATGGTTCATAAGTAAGATGTAAACGACCCACAGGGGCAGATTTAGGACTGAAGAAGATCCGGGGCTTAACACACGTGCGCGCGCACACACACACACACACACACACACACACACACACACACACACACACACACACACACACACACACACACACACACACACACAGAGACACATGTGACATGCACTAGTCAACATCATATATATTACAAATCACAAATATTTTCAAATAAGACTCACAAACCTGAGTCAACACCAGTATCATCAAAGCTGGGGTTCTGTCGCGGTACTTTTGGTCTAAAAAACGCCCTTATGTCCATCTTTACATTTGCGTTTCAGACAGAGACTAGAAGAAGCCGGCTGCTGAAGGGCTTCTTCTTCAGTGGTGGAGGCTCAGGCAGGCTGTATACAAACTACTGCCAGCTGCTCCCTCTCTGTTGGACTTTGGTACTGCATGTTACTTCCATGTTTTAGATCCGGGGCTTTTCATAAAACATTCGAGGCTTGAGCCCAAGTAGCCGGGCCTAACGCCGCCCCTGACGACCCATTCTTTACACTTATATTCCTTTTATTTAGTTGATTGCACAGTAAAACAGTTTGCTGCGCGGTTGGCTGCACTAACAGATGAGGGTGTTAAGTCAACTTGTCTTTTCTTTGAATAACTTTGATGGAGACTGAGGACGGAGATGAACCACAGCGATCAGACAAACGGACTATCAGCCCTCAAAGTATTTTCAGGTGTGCAGCGAATACGTTTTACCAGGTAAGATCAACATGGGAATGAATGAAGACAAACTAGACCTGACTCAAGCTAGCCTGAATCCAGCCTCAAACAAGACTCACATTCAAAAGAGAATCAAACTAGATTTGAACTTGGATAAAAAGGGACTAAAAGTAGAGAGACTCAAACAAAACTCTCATTTGCTTTTAAAAAAGTACATACCTGAATAAAAACATCATTAGTGAGAAGAATAAATGGAGCTGTCCTTTTGTTGGTTATGGTTCATCAATATAAAACAGTAAATATGATCTGTACTTTAATTTCCACACAGTTCTTGCCTATGTAATGATAGATGTTAATTACATTTAATTAAGGACCATAAGACATTAAAAATTCATATCGAGTATGAAATCCATCTTATGGACACTGGGTTATGTAAATCAGAAGTTTGGATCTTTTTATTGCAGGGACTTTAAATAACACTTTGTATTAACTGAGAGACAAGAGAAGAGAGAGAGACCTTCAAATGTTTAAGGAAATTTATTACTAAATAATTTTAAACAATTTAACAAGACTAACTCTCTAATGATGAATGTTCTGTTTGAATGAAGTGTGAGGTGGTTGGTGTGTGTGTGAATGAGTGTCATTCAGAACCCTCGTATCCGGAGAAACAAAGTCTGAGTGGGAGATGAGGTTTTGCTCCTAACTGATCAGAGTTTGAGACTCGTAGTCATAAACACATGAGACGCCATTTGTGTCGCATCCACATACCCTCAGTGAGACCTCCGTACAGATCCGGATGCCAGGTCCACGGACCCTCCTCCGGTACTGGAGCCAATGTAGAAGCGTCGACAGCAGTCTCCAGGTAAAAAGCGACAGGTGTTTCACAGGGTCAAAAAGAGGACCCTCCTTGGGTCAGCGAGTTCAGCTTTTATTCCGAAGGAACCGTTGCTTTGGTTGGTAACAACGACAGATTTTCCCCAGCTTGAATGGTTCTCAGCTTAGAAAGAGAAGTATAGATGGCCTGTCCATACTTCACTTAGCATGCGGTGAACTTCATGGGATCTTGAGATCTGAACTTAAGATGGCGTTGGAACTGTTTTATTAATCTGGATGTTTTTGATTCTGAACGAATCAAAGCTGACAGATTAAATAAACACCACAGAGACTCTGCCACGCTTCAGACTAGGACGATTCTGATTGGATCAGCAACAGCAATGTGTCATGTGATTATTTACCTTAGTGTATCAGCGTGTCTAGTGACTAGAATAAGTCATATTACTTATTAAAAACATATTAATCATAATATTGTGATTTCACAGATCGGTCACATTGTATTATTGACTAACAGTTGTTTTGATTAGCTTTATTGAAAATAGAGTTCTTTGATTTAATAAAAGAAAAGAGTCTCTTCATCTTCTGTCTTCATTGCTGGAAAGTAAACAGTTTAGAAGTGAATGCATGACCTTGAGGCTGTTTCATGCACTCTGGCACTGTGTCAAAGGGACTGTGGAAAAGGTTAAATAACCTTGGAGGAATAGCTCCTTCGTCACATTGCACCTTAAACTGACTTTTGTGAAGTAACCCAGTCATCTGTTACCTTGGTTATGTAGTAGACGCACTGCTGGAAGACGAGCATGATGACTTCCTCCAGAACAGCCATTGTTTCCTCGCTGGCTGAGCGGACACGGGAGAGGCCAAGCTCCAACAGCTCTGAAAAGCACATTGATAAAATACAGACGCGGCCAAAGGTTTGGAGAATGACACAAATGAGTCATCACAAACTATACTGCCTTGGCGTTTCTGATAGCTGTTTGTTTAAACTCCAGAAAAATTGTCATTTCCAAAATCTCATTCCCATTGCGTTTGTGAAGAAGGATTCAGGCAGCCCAACAGTCCGGCAGCAGCAGGACCTTGTCCTAAAGCTGGTCCAGCTGTGGGATCAGGTTACCACCTGAACATCCTCCCTGAGGAACTCCTCCAACCATCCAACAACAGTTTGGTGAGGAACGAGGTCTTCTCCAGCATGATGGAGCACCGGGCCAGAAGGATAAAGTCAGAACCAACATGTTGGGTCCAGGTCCAGAAAACTCCCCAGATCTTAATCTTACTGAGAACTTGTGATCCATCCTCCAGAGGGAGGACAAACACAAACCCACAAAGCACTACAGATGTCTAGGAAACAAAACATTATTGTGACATCATTTAAAGATTAAGTAAATATAGAAACAAAGCAAGTCGTTACCTAAATCCTCCTCTTCCTTGTTTTTGTCAGCTTCACCCTTCTTCTCCTCCTCCCTCCCCTGCTCCGTTTGGACTCTCCACTTCAGAATCGAAGGCAGTTGGTGCCGAATGAACTGCAGCAGCTCCAGGCTGTTGGCCATCCAGACCACCAAGGGACATAGTCCTGAGACAACCTCACACAGACCACCACTTCGGAGGTCTTCGGGGCTTGGCCCTTCAGTGGCGTGTCTACGAGGCAGGGTGAAGCACTAGGTGTGTGTCCACGACAGATGAAACGGAAGAGAATGGACGCCAGAGAAGAAAAATAATCTTACCTTTCAGACTCAACCGCTAGATGCGTAGAACACTTCTGTTAGGTGGAAAGTAAAAGAGAAAACAACGTTAGTGAATATAGATGGGGACAATCTAACTCCCCTTCACTTTACTGTTGGGAGTCAGACCTGCTGGTTAGCACCTCAACCACTCACCCAAACAGCACTCTGAACTCCACTGGCAATAAGCAGCAGAATCCTCCGGAGGGCCGACATACGGAGGTGTGTCGATGAAAACTGAACACACACACTCAGCAAAAAGGAGACAGTGAGTGGGGGCCTATCAGGGATGCTGCTGCCTCCTCCCATAGCAACAATCTCCCTGATGATGCAGTCCTCATCCCCAGCTTGATACTCCAGAGTCAAACTGTGGCCTGCTGGGCATTTTAGAGAGGGGGGACCTCTGTTCAGAAGCTGCTTGTGGTGCGGACTCTGGACGGCGGTCCAGTTTGAGCTGCAGCTGTCACAAACGGTTGTTTTTGTTGTGCTGAGACGCAAAAACCAAGGAGCAACAGATCCGCTGAGATCAGAACCAGAGCTGTTTAGATCCTGAAAGTTCAGAGCAGAAACAAAGGCATGAGTGCTGGAAAAATGAGCAGAAATGACAAAAAGGACAAGCTTCCTGATTCAAAACCGATGTTGAAAGCCATGCAGGAAAGGGTTATTAATCAGAGAGCTGCAGCTATGAATGAGTTCTACTCTAATCTAATTTCCGCTCATCACGGAGACCAAAGAGCTTCAACAGCACTGTTAATACCCAGCTCCCCACAAAGGCCTCTCCATCTCCTCACCAGCCCTCGCTGGATCTCTGTGTTCACTTCTACAACTCACATCCATTAACACTTCCCCTCCTATCGCTCACTGACCCTGACTGATTTCCGGTTGTTTGTAATCTCTTTCTGAATTTTATTACTTTCCATTTGAGCTGTCAGGCTGTTTGGTAAAGTGCTCTATAAATAAATCTGAACTTTTTCTGAAATTCTCAAATCCCGCATGAAAAACAAACTTGAGAAAGTCGAATGTTTGCTGACCGTGTGCATCAAACTTGAGGGATCTCTGAAAAGGAACAGGTAGTGCCTTCCCAGCCCGATGACATCACCAGGCCTCAGCTGAACAGGGTTCCTCAGAACTTCACCGTTCCTCGTGACTCCAGCGTCACGTTGAGGACAGAGCACCACGGGACCGCCAACAGTGGGCCGGTGGAAGCTGCAGTGTGTGGGACAGATGTCTCCAGCATAGAGCGGGATGTCCACCTTGGGCTTGTCTTCGTGAGCTCTGTGCTGGCCAGTAACGACAAGCGGAGCAGCGAGCAGGTAGATGATGAAGTCCTGAGCAGAGAAAATCACAACAAGTTATTTCAAGTCTAAACTTTTTATTTTCTTTTGATGATTTCCTGAAGGTGGCGCTCTTGAGTTTTCTTTGTTCCTTGTTCCGTTTGCTTCAAACAAACAAACAAACAAACAAACAAACAAACAAACAAACAAACAAACAAACAAATCACTAAACAAATTATAAAATGACTTCCAGAAAGTCCTTTCCCAACTGTAACTTTAAAGGTGTGGATCACAGAAAAACCATTTCTGTAAATCCTATTCCTGATCGTAATCATTCACGCTGAGCTTTTCATGCAGACTGAACATGAAAATAGTCTCCTACACCTACTATCTCCTGCATTAGCTTCTGATAGAAACTAGACGGTGAAACGCTAGGATTAGAAAATCCTGACAGATCTACTTCACACTGTCGCTTAACATTCACGGACTCACCCATTTTGAGTAACGGCGGGGAAGGTTGTTGTTGGTTTAGCGTCCAGGAATCATCAGAGAACGCCTCAACTAGGAGAAGCTAACCATTAGCATTAGCAACCCCACCACACAGCGGAACTCCTTCAGGTTTGTGTTATTTGTGGAGATAAAACATCAACGTTCAGAGTAAACAGAGTCAGTGGTAGAGTCATGTTGCTGTTAACCAGTCAGAGGTGAGATGTCCAGAAATCAGGAAGTAGGACTCCAAATCTTGCCGCCTGAAGCTTTCCTCTGATGTGGCATTCTGCTTGATCCTGAAACAAGCGCATCTGAACCCGCAACTTTTTATTCATAAAAATGGACTGCAGTACCTAAATTTGACCACAGGATGCCAGTCTTACTTCATTCTTACATATTGCACCTTTAGTGCGAACAAGCTGGAGCTGGCCACGCCCACAAATCCTCTAATTAGCTGTTTTAATTTGAGAAGCTCGATATCTGAGAGGGCATGGACTGGAATCGCTGCTCCTCCAGAATGTACAGGTGAGGGGGGTTCTATGCGAAGACCCATTATTGTGACGTCGGTTGCTATAAGGAACTTATTCAAACATCTCACAGAAGCAATTCATTCCTAAAACCAAACACTGACAGACATTGAATGTAAGATTATTCTCATGTTTAGAGAGTTTTTGGAGGCAGAGACCAACATGGCAGCACACAAGGATGTAAAAGGTGAGATTTGCATAATATGTCCCTCTTAATACTGTGGTTTGCCTGGACCTGTTCAGAGCACCTGGTGGAGACAGGTGTTCTGCAGGGTGGAGAAACTCAACATCCTTGCTCTTGATTGCAAAAATGCTATCAAAAGTGGATTCATAATTTTTTCATGCCATCTAGACGTTTGACTAGTTTAAGAATTAACTACAGAGCATCTAGGAAGAGCCTTTTCTACCACAGCATGTTAGGGCCACTTGGATGAAAGCGTTGTCTGTCATGATGAAGAGCTGACGATGCCTTCTGGAAGCCTCCCTGGTGAGGTTTTCCAGGCACATCCAACTGGGAGGACACCCAGGACACGCTGGAAGGACTATGATTCTCACCTGGCCAGGGAACACTTCAGGATTCCCCCTGAGGAGCTGCCCAAGTGGCTGAGGAGAGGGAAGTCTGGGCCTCCCTGCTTGGGCTGCTGCCCCCACAACCTGACCCTGGATACGTGGATGGATGGATGGATGAATATTTAGGGAGAGCAATTACTGATAAACAAAAACATAATGTTTGTGACTACATCAGATTCTGGCTCATGGGTCGGTCATAAATTAGCCTGATTTAGACCTTTTTCATGACATTTCGCTTTTACGCGGCCTTGTAGTTAATTTTTTATTCCAAGTGGCACTAATATGCTTTCATACTTTGCTTCATGTCGTTTTTACATTTTGTCATCTGAATTGGTGAATGGGACTGTAAACATTTAGATCTAAACGTGTTAAATATTGTGAAACTGAATCCTGATGCAAAAACGTGTGCACCATGGTCTTCTTCAGCTATCTGACACCTTATCTACTACCTTGTAACATTTTTACATTTTTAAAGACCGAGTTAAGACAGCAGCAAAACACTTTAGCTATGGCTGAGCTCAGGCTAGCACAGTGGGGTTCAAACCTGACCCTCGAGGGCCCCCATCATGCTTGTTTTAGAGGTTTCTCTGCTCTAACACACTGCATTTCAATCAGCAAATCAGTAACCTGCTGCTGCAGAGCTGAACAGGTGATTAAACCTTTGAACCACATGTGTTTCAGCAGGAAAACAAATGTCCAGGGGTCTCATTTATCAAACATGGCGTAGAATCCTTACTAAAACCGTACTTAAGCTCAGCAACAAAAAAAATGTACTTACGCCCAGCAGGTTTGTGATCTATCAAACATGGAGTACACACAGCAGCACGCAATCTCCGCTTCATAAATCGGGGACTAATGAGAATGTTTCTCAGCTGCATTTTAGTCACATCCCGCCCTCACCATGCCCACTTACTGCCATAAATAGTCAATGCAAAGTGCCTTGTGGATCTCATGCATATACATACGCCGGCCGTAGCAACGCTCCGCCAATGACATGGCGACCATAGATCAAGGCAGACCAAGGACGCGCAATTTCACAGAAGCAAAAGTTGAGGTACCTGTGGGTGAGGTGGAGAAATGAAAGGAAGTGCTTTTGCAAAACAAATAAGAGAAAATCCACGAAGTGGCACAGCGTTGCTGAAGCCGTCAATGCTGAGTTCTTCAGAGAGATCTGTGGCGGATATTAAAAAATGGTCCAATCAGGATTCAATCCCCAGACTCCCGGGTGAAAGTCACGCGTGCTAACCAGTCAGCCAAACAGAGATCTCCCCTGTACAAGTAGCCAGGGCACATGATCAAGCGGGTCACAGTGACAGGACACACACGCTGTCACAGACGCATGATGTTCTGTCTCAATCTGTCCCCCTGCTGATATTCTGCATTCTGTATTCTGGCTTCAGGCTGAGTGTGTGTGTGTGTGAGTGCGCGCGCATGTGTGTGTACGAGCGCATGTGTGTGTGTGTGTGTGTGTGTGTGTGTGTGTGTGTGTGTGGGGTCTTGTTCTGTGTGAACAGGAAGCAGTACAAGTGATAATGCTGCAGGATTTCATAATTGTATCTTCTCAGCAGCAGCACTGCAGGTGCTCTCCATGTCCAACAGGTGTGTAAGCCAGGTCCTTATTCATCTTAAAGTTGCGAACATTTTTCTGCTAAGTTTTCGTTCATAAATCCCAAAGTTTGCGTGGAAAGTTGCTTACGCAGTTTTCCGACCGCGTTTTGTGCGTAAGCAAGCTTGATAAATGAGACCTCAGGACACTGGTTCTCAAGGCTCAGGATTAAAGACATTCGAGTGAGCTCATTGGTCCTAAAATATCGAAACTATTTATCCAAACAAAGGCTGTTCAGCCATCTACCAGACAATAGTAATTTTACATAAAAACAACCTCCCAAAGAGCTGTTATATCCATTGAATTGGTTTGTAGGCCACCATAATGATTCTATGGCAAATAAAAGGAACCTCCTACCCAGCATCCCTTTTCTGAACCCATCGGCCTCGTTCCCATAGAAACCAGTTTAAACATTCATCTCAGTCTGCTGAGCTAAGAGCATAAACAGTTGTTGAAAGAGCTGTTGCCATAAAGATGGATGAATGTGCCAAAAAGATTAATGAAAATTATTAAATTATCTGCGGGGATCCAATCTCTAGGCAGGAACAGCAGAAAACAGGGAACCCCACAGTTAAAGGTCAAACTGGGATCCTGAATTTCAGCCGGCATCATTTTCTGTTTAAAATCACCAAATTGTGCTGTGGTACCAAAACTCTGTCCAGCCCGTACCCAGA